AATCAGAGTTTGAGTATCTATATAGAACTCAATCGTTTCATTCCACTTATATTTTACCATTTCCGCAAAAATATAATCAAGGATGAAGCATCGAAAGGCCTAATGAATTCACCAATCAGTCTCAGTTGTTCAGTTTCATACAGTGAATAAAAACTGACAGCCACACTCCCACTAAATGCTTATACAAGACAATTACGCAACAGTCATGGCAGTCAGCAAAGATCTAAATGCAGGAAGCCGATTTTTGAAATTACGTTTCAGAAAGAAAATTTTACAGAAATCACCGATTTCCACTTCTACACAAAGAGAAACCACAGTGGCCATGTATGTAACGCAATAGTGAAACGTCGAGTGTATCAGGTTAACATGAAATAATGACATAAAATAAACACACAAAACAACAAACCCACCTCCATGAACAGACTGTTGATGAATCTTCAACATATGGAGTATGGGAGACGTCATGTTGAAAAAGTGAAAATCAGCACAGTAGAGAAAAAGCCTATCTTTCTGCAGCTTGCATTCAAAGGTGATGATACTGCCAGTAGAATAAGATGCAGACTGAACGCTGCCCTGAAAAGAACATATCCAGCCGCCAAGCTTGTATGTGTTTATCAAACAACTAGTTGTTTGAGACAATCAAAAGTGGACAAATACCCACCTCATGTTACCTCCAACTGTGTCTACCAATTTACATGTACGTGCCAAAGCACCTACATCGGAAGAACAGAGAGAAGGATTATTGTCCGCATTTCTGAACACATACCAAAGAACCTGAGACTGAAAGGTCCACAAGCATTAAACAGTGCGATTGCGCGTCATCTATTAGACACTGGTCATAATGTAGACAACTTGAAGTCATTCAAAATAATCAACAAGCAAAAGAAACCTAACTTGCTACGCTTTGCTGAAGCAATTGCTATCAGACGACTTAAACCAAACCTATGTACGCAGAAAGAGACAGTGGTGAATCTTGCACTGCCTTGGTGACAACAAAAAAATATATATATACAACAGCTTGTTTTTGTTTCCAAGCCTAATTGCCTAATTATTCTATAAATATTTATAAACTGTCAAATATTGATCACAGTTCATTTGAATTATTCTATAAATAGTCAGTGTTTGTAACTCTTAATTAGTTAAATCATTCCGGACTAATGTTACTTCTTCTACTTCCTACCAATTACTCCTTGTGATCGTGGAAAATTATGTTCAAATCTTTAATGTAATGTAATTCATATTTTTCATCGTTCAGGTTGTAACCAGTTGAGAAGAATCCTCGAAATAATAAAAGATGAGCTCATATTATCCTGGTACAATTGTTGTTCTTGCTTTGTTCAAGTTTATTAATGGGAAGAATTGCATGATGTAATGGATACTTCAATAGGTCACTAGGGAGTAACCGTTTTCACGCTACTAGTCCTTGGTTTTAACAAAGACTGAATTTCATCAGTTACGTTTGTAAAGTGGTGACCAAGCTGGGTGACTTGCCATTGCGTTGTGATCTAAACTGAAGTTTAATGGTTGGAGGCAATCGGCAGAAGGCCGTGGAGTTAGATTTCGCGCCTGTTGGCACTCATCAGAAGGGCACATCTACGTCCCAGGTCCAGTGCTTCCTGTTGATGGCCTCTAGCCATCTAACATCAATTTAGAGTACATGAAGAAAGCGAGCCACTTAGCTTGGTGACCACATTGCAAACTCGACTGATAGAATTCAGTATTCATCAATACCGAGGACCAGATATACAAAATTCCTTAATGCGTAGTGATCAGTTAATGTAAAGTCTACAATGTAAATGTCACTAGAGAAATTAGCATTATTTTAGCCTACAGTTTCAGCTATGTTGATTTTAGTTTAAAACTCTACTGAACTGCTAAACCATTAACTCGGAGAGAGTGGGTGGTTAATGCGAACTCGGTTACCAATAAGCATCAAAATGTTGATAACTGTGATTTTGAAGTTCTAAGATGACTGTTCCAATTTAATCATATTCTCAATACATAGTCCAAGGTTCATATAAATTATTTCATTGAAATTATTCTTGAGAAAATATTTCCTGTAATTTTAACTACTAATGTCGAATAGTTAAGAATCCGATTAACTACTAATATCACGAAAAATTCTGATAACTCAATGTAATGAAAACAAAACTTATATAATAAACACTAATCAATGTTTTATTTTCTTTACTTGCAGGAAGATACTCGGGAGTCATTTATCTGGATCAAGAGATACAACAATTGAAGGATCTAAACCTTAGCGAAGACAAGGAAGGCTGTTAGACTCTAAGACTAGACCTCCGCACGTTTTATAATTGATTCTCATGGAATAAACGTTTTTTGAACAGCTTGTGTTCTGTTTTCATTATCTGTGTGCTTGCTGCTTTGCTTGTCACAAATTTCCTTTATATTTCCTAAGTGTAAAACTGATTTCTAACCATAACGGAATTTGAATCATCGCTTGACTTTGTGGGATCGATATTCTAAAGTTCCACTCATTACTTCTCTGAGTGAATCACATGGAGACAGTTACATGAGTAACAGCAAATGACTGACCTGATGGACATGCTTTTATGAAAGCTTTATGCAATCGAATGTTCTAAAAGGAGATCTGGTCGACCCAGTCAAAGCTCAAAGGACTCGAACCATCACAACGTCATGGTAGCATAATCCTTCAAAATTCTTTAATAAAGACTTAATATCAGAAGTGATCTTACCAACTAATTTCTTTGGATCCATATAAACATAACACCTACTAGAAACTGGTTTAAGTTTACCCCTGTATTATACACCTTTTAGATTGTTAAATTCTTTAGAGAATCTTAAGTCATACAAACAAGCTTTGTTATCAATTTGTAACGCTTACTTTGACTGATGGTAATTACGATAATCAAACTCAACTGAAAAACAACGTTTAGAACTTTGGGTCGGTTTTCAGGGTTTTAAAATGCCTCGGTTTTAGATGGAAAAACTTTTACTCTTCAGAAAGAAAAACAAAATCACGATGTCAGGCCACTAGTTGATGTGATTATTTTCCGACTACTGATATCCGTAAGTAGCATACATTTTTTTCACATTTTTATTCGTCTTCTTGATATTATTTATAGTGTCAAAAAGGTGACAAATTGTAATGGGAATGTCTGTCGTTTCCCGAAAATTTCCTCCTCTAATCGTGAACACTGTGAATCACTACTTGCATAGGAAGCAGAAAACATAAATTTAGCTTTTTGTACTGACTGACTGACTTAGTTTCAGTGTAGAACTTTACACAGAAGTTCAACAGTTCAAGTTGCCACACACCATAAAGCACACATAGGCAGAGAAAAGTAAGAAGAGATTCAAAAGAAATATAATGAACAGAAATTTGCGGAATAAGGAGTAGTAACATGGAAAATCATGAGGATATAATGAATCTGTGAGATTACGAAGAGTGAATACATCTACACCACTGACAACAATTTTCACCTAAATCAATACAAGCCTCAAGCCATTAGTTCTTAGCATCCCGAGGATCTCATTAAGGCTACCTACACCTCCCTATGTCACTCAAATCAACTGTCAAAGACTTCATTGATTTATGCCACGTTCTAGTTCGACCAACCCCAAATCCCTTCCAACCTCATCTTATTTCACACTGTAACAACAGAAGGCAAGACACGGAAGCCAAGGTATATTTTCAAGTCATCAAACAGCTATCTATATAGATACAGTTTTATATTCTCTAACCAGTCACTGAGCGTATGATTTGGGCTTACATTAAACGACACAGAATAGAATGTTCAAATACATAGTATTTTGCTGCTAATGCTGTATTGAACTGTGGGAATATGTGAGAATAATATTCCTTTGGAACACACTGTCTGTATCACAACACCACAACATGACATTGCTCAACTGTCGATTAGCATGCATAGCATGTGTTCTGGTTTTCTCAATCAATGTAGGTTCAAAACCTCATCATCTGATTTGCCCTCCTCACCCAACACCACACCTAACCTCTACATGAATCATCGCACCATACAACTTAACACAGCAGATATTACGCAAACATCTCTGGACAAAGATAGTTAGCCTCTTCAGACCTCCCACTTTCGATACTTATATCTCACATCCCTAAAGAAGGATAGTACGAACAACTGTGCAATACACACATCCCTTGATCGATAGCCAGACATTATGTCTTCTTCAGAGGTGACATAAGATGATAAATGTCACATGAACCTTATGTGTCCGTGCTGAGATTTCGTCAGCTACTAATCAGCTGGAGCTGATTCAATTTCCCAAATAAGTGAAGTAGTCAACATACTCTACTACTTCACTCTGTATCTTAAGGCTAGGAGTCGGTGTAATCCAGTCTTGCAGCATCATCTTACATTTGACAGGATCGAATCGCATGCCAAACAATCAGAAGTTGCTACTCAAGGTGTTTAGAAGACTCTGCATTTCGTCAGTGTTCTCTCCTAAGACAACGATATCATCCGCGTAAGCCGATGAGACTGTCTACTGGTAACAAGTCAGTCCCTAAATGATAGTTATGTCTAACTATGAATTGCGTAAAGCTAATCAGAAACTAACTTTTAAAGCCTGATCAAGCTAATAACTACGTTCATTGGTGTATTAATTCATGTATCCTTAAGCCTGATAAGTGAAATACTGCATATACCCGTTGTGAAGTTTCAACAGACATAACAACTCAATCACCAGCTTCCTAGACAACACCTTCTAAACATTAAGCAAAATTCTTACCAATCTATAACGCTTATACATACTTTCTACTTAAACAATGCAATGTAATATTCATTAACTCCTACATTTGAATATCCATCATACCTGAAAGGAAGATAAGCTCGGGTTCGTCATAAGTCAAGTCTGAACAATACGTTTATATAATTCATCTAAATGAAAATCACTTTACAAAAATAAATTTGATAATTAAATAAATAAGTTTTATAAATCTGTTCTGTACATAAGATGGATAAAATTGCAAAAAAATAACACATTCAGCTTAAATATGGTCGCCAAACATTTTGTTCACTAATAATCTGTCGAATATTTTCTTTTTGATCATCAGTAACACTACTCCATTGGTTTGAAACTAGATCATGATCATCAATGAATTTAGGGCATTTGGGTTCAAAAATAAATCGATCATTGATTCTACACGATAAATTCTGTTGACTGGTGGAATTGTAATCATTCTTATCTTCAACTTTGAATATATTTTGATTTTTCATTTGTGACCAACGATATTTTAATGGTAATCGAAAGGTATGAGGTTTGGAGGATTTATTACATAGAAAATCAGCTTTCTTATTAATTGGTTGAATAGAGCAAGAAAATGACTCTGAAGTATTCATCTTAAGGGGACTTCTTAGTTTTGTATCCATCTTTGTACAAAAGTCTGAACTTTCAGTTGGGTGTTCATATGAAGTATTGGATGGATTTTGGTTAAACTCTTTTATCTGTGAAGGAATGATACTGGTTGCAAGAGGATAAACCAATTGATTTTCTTGACGTTCAGCTTTGTAATCAGATCTCGTTGATGAAATTGGACTGTTGGACTGTAGGCTAACTGTATCTGTAGACTGTGGACTGTTTCTTGAATCCTTCGTCTCAAGACAACTTGAGGTTAATTTATGCAAACGGGACAGTAGTTCTGAAAAGTTGTCAGGGAAACAGTAAAAAAAAATTAATCTCTAGTTGAATCGGTAACATAGGAAGCAAAAAATTTTAGTTATTTTACGTGTCAGCATGTCTTTATCTATTAATATAACTTAATCGGTAACTTAGTTAATATTTTCATCTACCAGTACTGAATAACAGTTTCTAAGTCTTAACCTTTGGATTATTTAAACTAACAATAACTAACAACTATTGACATGAACTGAATTAGTATGTGTGCAAACCTTCCATTTTGGTAAAGCAATATTATTCGCATTCCATGATTATGTAGACTTTTTAAAAAAAACTACAATTCCTTTTGAAATGTTAAGCTATGTAAGGATTTCAGTTAACTCCAATATAGATATCCTCAAGAAAAGACATCAGCAAGACAATCATTGGAAGAGTAATTGACAGCCGTTTCGCCTTAGCTTGGTTCGACCAAAGATCGAACCCTAGTTTATTATTATTCTCTTGGGTTCCGATTAGAAAATACGACTTCAACAACCCATCTCCATTTTTTCCTGCTCTCTGCAGTCCTCTTTAGTTGGATTCACGACTGCCCATAGACTCTCATCCCCTCCTCACACGATCTCCTCCCTATCATCCTAGGATGCCCAACTCGTCGAACTCTAGACCTTCAGGCTAAAAGGTAAGTAAGTTACCCATCAAGCCAATGAGTCGGAGCATACTTCTTTTTGGATTCCAGTGATTCTCTAACTGATAACAGCTCGTGTAGAAATCTTTATTCACAAGAAGAATCAGTTCCTCAATTAAAGTGCTTACAATCAGCCTAATTAGTGTGTAACAGTTAATATATGTAGGAGGTAAAATTAATTAGTAGAAGACATAAGACAAAAGCAAATCAACCCTCATTCTTGATTCATATTTATGAACAGCGATTTTCGTCTCATTTAATTCTACATTTTTATTATTTCTCCTAAAATCCTAACCTCGCCTAATTAACTAGCTGGCTAGTTTTCTAGCCGGTCCCAAACCCGGCACACATGATGCTACACATTTTGAACACAAACTGTTCATTCTCTAACATACGAAACTTTCTCCAGGAAAACTATTGTGCGTGAACTAAAGGGAATGGTGCATCGATATTATTTGTGAGTAATGAATAAAGAACATAACTTTACAAAATGCTTATTTGAACAACATTTAAAATTACCTGGCCTTTCCTTCAAAATTCTCGAGATTCCTTCAAATACAGTATAACAGATTCCAAGGATATCACTTTTCTCCATTTTAGAATATTTTATTGGCTAAAAATGTATAAAGAAACAAACGAATTATTATGCGAGCAAAGTAATACACGTATATTTATTTATTTTTCACTTTTATTACTTAAACATTTTGTAAGTAGTTGAGCAATAAATAAGCAGTTCAACCAAATTTCTAGACAGATTTATATAAACATTCTCAAGTATACATAAGTTAATTCATTTCTGTGAAAGAATGTATTCCATTTGAAAGAGTTTGTTGAAAACGGCCTTCTTGTTTATATGTTTTTCTGAAAATGGAAATCTTCTAGTTTCATAAGTTCTCTTAAATCCGTAGGAATTACATAATCCTTCTCAATGATTGGGGTTAGCAGCATAAAGCCTACTTTATGAGCTGATTACATAATAAAATGAGTGATATATTCTATGGGGAGGTATCTACGTTAGTCATTAGCTATCTTGAATACGACTTTTAAGCCTCATAGAAACTTATATGGAAAATAGTTTAACTAAATCGTTCAAAAATGATGCACAGTTTCACGTTAAAAGAAGAAGTATATTTGTCCATCAAATTCATTGAATATTTCAAAAAGAAAAGCACAAAAGAAATTGCTTACACTTACATCCTCTCCGATTAATTTCATAGCCAAATTGTGTAATGCATTCATTTTGTCTGCAATACATGCACGACGATGTCGTTCTGTATATTGTTTCTTCAACTAGAAAAAGAGAAAAAAGAATTAAGGAAAATAAACATTTCATTCAAACCATAATTTGTTCATTTTATTCCTTTACGTTCCCACGGAAACATAGGGCTTCTAGCCAGAGGCTTGAAGTTTTGATAGCAGTGGCATTTATCTTCATGAAATGGGGTTGCTAGCCTCATACTCCAACCTTCCCTCTTTACCAGTCTTGTTATAGGCTTAGCGAGGTTTAGGAGTGCATCAGCCGGGGATCGAACCCCGAACCACCTGTGTGGTTGGAGAGCATTCTACCCCGAGGCAGTCAAATTACAATGTAGACAGGATTAAATTGTAGATTATAGAAAGAATGAAAAATATACTTTTATCTTACTTATCACTGTTCACACATAAATAAAAGATGTAATGTAATTCAACAATCATGGATGAATTATTACAAACGAATAGGTTTAGCTGAAAGTCAGTGGACCTGCCTTTTAACCTGAAGGTCTCTTATGTAGTCATAGGTGCTGTCCACTGCAAAGCCTCATAATAGGAAGAGATAGATTTGTTGTTCAGTGGTTCTCTAACTAATGTTGGCTCACAATGAAATCTACATCAACTGTTCATTGGTGAATAAGTTAAACAAATCACATGAAATTTACTTTTATTTATGAAGGAGAAATTTCATAAAGAAGGGATTATATGTCCAAATACTTTTAACACAATCAAAACAAATCCTTTGGTAGAGACATTCGATTCAATAACAATATTTATAATCGTAGCGATTAATTGTACTTAGTTAAGATAATTGCTAACCGGCCCTAAACTCAGACTTCAGTTAATAAGGGGGTTCTGAAACTTTTTCCATACAATGTACGCCTAGTACGTGGAATCAAAATGACACAATGCTAATACCAGATATATGAAAAAATGTTACTGCCAATAAAGCCAAAGAATAAGAAATGATGGGATTACATTCAGCGAGTGTCTTAGTATGAACATGAACAATAAGTTGAGCTAAAAATGTTATCAGTAAATAACTCTGTATCACACTGTGCTTTTATCAGATAAGATTATTCTAAGATGGAATCACACTCTGCTAGAGTGCCTAAGTTTTATTCTTATATCAGAAATTAACAAAATACTGTTACTACAGGTTTTTATGAAATATAGTAGTAATAGTGCGTCAGTGGTACATCGGCAGAGTACTCGCCGACCACACAGGTGGTCCGTGGTTCGATTCCCGGCCACCGACGCACTTCTTTACCTCGCTAAGCAAGTAGTAAGACTGGTAAAGAGGGAAGGTTGGAGCATGAGGCTAGCAACCCCATCCTGTAAAAATAATCACCACTGCTACAGAAACTTCAAGCCTCTAGCTTGAAGTGGCCCTATTTTCCACTGGGAACGTAAAGGAATGGAAAAAAAATAGTAGTAGTAATAAGGTCTAATATACTGATGCAATTTACGTGTAAAAAATCTTACCCGACGAACTTCATCACGGATTTCCAAAGGTATTGTTGAACGTCTACCTCGACGACTAGATAATTTTTTAGAAATGTTAACATTTTGAGTTGGTAACGTCATATTATATGCTTCATTGTTCTTATCATCTAATGTAACTAATTCCTCATATGCAAAGCTCTTGGTGGACAAGTAATTTGAAACTTCATGATGAATAGGCATCATTTTAACGAAATAAACTTGAGGTAGTCGTTATTTCCAACATGTATATATACAATTTCATAAATGTTCTTAACCAATTGTAGAATACAAGCCACACGAATAAGTCAACTTTGCGTCGCATGCAACCGTAATAACCAATCAAAATTTAGCCGACTAATAACCGTATGCTTACACATGTGATTGTCTGCTTTTCGTGCATTAAACCTTCAGCCACAATTATTCCGTGTGGTGAGGGGGAGTAATATTCAAACTCTTATTCATCAAAATATGTGAGGACACATTAGATTTTGTCTATTAGGTGAAAAAAAATCAAATAAAAAATATCAAAAACAACAAGTTTCGACTTGTTTTTTTTCTTGCCCAGTCAGTAAAATCACACAGTAGTTATTTTAACCAAAAATATGAGACAGAAACACGTTGAAAAATGGCGGGAAAAACAACTTAAAACTGACAAAACGAGATGCAGACATTGGCGAAAATGACACTCATCACAGTTATGGGCAAAGGTTATTTGGTCAGGAAAGCTTTAGAGCGATAAATGTGACAATAAGTCATATGTGCTTATGCTTGCGGAAATAAGACTGCTTTCAAAGTACCGATATTAGTTACAGCACCGTTGAATATTAAGGGTAACTGAACTTCCGTTCTGTTTTAGATTTCCTCTGTTCAAGAGTGTTTACCTATGATCCCGTTGGAGGATAAACATAAGAAAGTTACCTACTGGTTATTCTTACAATTTTTCAAAAGTTTTTGGTGAAGACACTTGAAGGGGCATAAATTAGAACTAAACATCTGTCCATTGCTTATTTAATTCAATTTTAGATTTTCCCGTCGATTGATTGGACCGAAGTCCTCGGTCTCAGGTTGACATGTCGGCTTCTTGTGCAGATGCTTCGACGATGTCTGGGCATGTAATTAGAAGTTAATTGGGACTCGTCGAAGCATCTGCACAAGAAGCCGACATGTCAACCTGAGACCGAGCACTTCAATCCAATCAATCGACGGGAAAATCTAAAATTGAATTAAATAATTAATATGAGCCGTTGCACAAGAGGTGGTGGCCCTCGTGGCCCACGTGGTCTAGTGGATAACGCTTTGGCGGTTGAAACTGTGGGTAGGGGGTTCGAACCTCGGTGGGAACATGATCACTCACTGGGGAATGCAGGCACATTTAGATGATGAGTCCCAAACAGGACGAAATGCGCATCCTAGATTCCACTGCTAGTCACCATCCACCAGTTAACTTCAGTCCATTGCAGTGAGATTTTCTAGCTGATTTCTGTTTGTGATAAAATATACCTTTAAATTAATATTACCGCTATAATTACTATTCAGTTCCTGTGTTCCGAGTGGGATATAGAGCTTCGACAAGACATCTTCATTCGTTCCGATTCTGTGCTACAAGTTTCAGTTGAGACCACATGCCTTAACCTGTTCACTGCATGATCTCCTCCAACGCTCAAGTCACCGTTTTCCATTCAGGTTCTAATTGAGATCCCAGAGTGTGATATCACTTTGAATATTTCCTTAGTGTATATCCAGTCCACCTCCATTTCCTTCTTAATATTTATTGAGTAATAGCTTTTTGGGCGGTTTACTGACAGTGTTCCTAGTTGACTATCCTTTTTTGTAGACCTTCACTATCGAAATAGCGAAGGCATCTGTTGATGCAAATCCACAGCAGACTATTGGAAATGCTTTTAGTGACAAGCGTGCCAAGTGTCTGAAGCATGTAGAAACATTGACTTGATACTAGCGTCAAAAACTCGAGTCTTTCTACTGAGTACAACTCACTCGCACACTGATTTCCGGCTGATGAAAGTCTGTGTGTTTCCTTACCGAAAATCCTCATCTGAATCGCCTTGATAAATGAAAGAGATGATTTGCATTAGATTTCCCCTGTTACAAGCAACAGATGAGTGTTGTTGTTGGTTAACTATCCTCATCAACTTTGTTGTTGAAAATTCGTATCTTGAATGAGAAGTGTAGATCTCTACAGTGACTTTAAAGTAATGAGGGCCTGTTTTGTTTCTTCGAACCACTAAAATTTCCACAGGCCCCATACTTGAATCAAGTTAATGGAAAGGCCCCTTTATGGTAGGATTCGAGTGAGTAGCTTGGCCATCTGTTGAATTAACCGTATTACTGATTTACGACTAAACTTCCACCTCATGCCAGTCACCAGGATGTGTATTAAAATTGCTTCTTAAAGTTACTCTGATCAGGAACTTAATACTTTAAGTCAGCTGACTATCGAACAGCATATTTTTAGTCGTTTTACAGTATACTATACTATACTTTTACTTTATTTGTAAGTACCCAGTATTATACTACTTATTTTGTCAATAATATAAAATGAGATCCTTGAACCAGTAAGATCAAATCAATGTAGACATAACCTTTCTGACACTTTGAACTTCACCAGTTGTGTTGATGCATATGATTTCATTGAATGCTTGCTCTTTATTTACAAATGTACCATTGGTAAAAACTATCTGTTTTCTATTTGATAACATCGACCTAGAATGCATGAACATTTGAGTGCCAACCAACTACTTAGAGCAGGTTTTATTGGGATGTACGCCTAATGTACAGCTAAGATATAACGATATCATCGATAACTAAAGGGATGGAATCGCCATGGGGTCTCCATTAGGACCTGTCCTAGCGGATTGTGGAGTACGTAACCATATGATTGTACACTTTTTGTTTAGATGTTGAAATTAGAAACATTGTACATGACTCTTGTTTAAAACGATTTATGTTTAAATACATATAACTTCCGAGTACAATTTGAAATACAATATACTGTTGGTAGCTCCGCCTTCTCTCAGGCCATTTCTGTCTATTCATCCAACTCAAACCGTGTTGTATACTTTGGATTTATTGCAGGAACCTATCATCCTCATCCGAAGACAAATCTACAACCGGAACACAGCTTCTATCAGTAGACACGATTCCAACAGTCGACGCTTCTGTGGATTATATAAATAATTTGTAGCAGTGGACTTTAACAACATATCCAAGTAACCTATTAATTGATATAACACATTACTGCATTTTGATAATATATTGTTGCATTGTACTCTCATTGACTTGGATTTTTATTCGCATATTTGCTATGTTAATGAACTGGCTCTAGACAGTCCCCTACAGGATTTCTTGATGGCGGGCTTAGAAAGTGGTCCACTGAAAGAAAAAATCTTGAGTCTGCATGTGTATAAGCGATATATTGACGACACCTTTATTATTTGTGATGAAAACTGTTCAACTGATGAGCTTTTAAGGAGGAAGAGTCTAACTCTACATTTCACTTCTTAGATGTGATGCTAGATAGAAGAGAGGACAGTACGTTAAAAAAGTCAACCTAGTAAAAGCCAACATTTACAGGTCAGTACACTAATTCCAACAGTTGGGTACCCCTAGGCAGGAACAGAAATCTTATCTGTTCTCTATGCTCCAGAATTTGGAAAATTTGCTCTATAGATTTGGCTGACATAAAAATAGAAAGCCTTCGTACAACTCTCTTAAATAATAGATATCCTAGAAGGTTTATCGACAGAAACATCAAGAAAGAAACCGTCCCCAGACAAATCACAGTGCTAAAGAAAACAATGTTTATGAGTTTGACTTTAGAAGGTAACATTATTTCCGAAGTAACTACTGATAAGTGTTTTCGGTATAAACAGCGGTTTAAAAATAAAATGTATTGTAACACAATAGCAAATAAGAGCTTTATTTAGGTTTTGCGGTGATCCCTACCTCTTATAAAACGTCAATTGTATGTGCACTATTTAAGAAACCCAAATTCTCTTGCTTATCCCCGCAGTAGAAGATATAGTCGCTGCGCCATTCTGATTACAGATCATTTTCACTATGGCTAAATTAGGTAAACGAATCGACCAGTAGTTAATATTCGTTATAATGATTATTTTTATTTTATTTTTTTTATTTTGATTTTACAGCTTGATTCCACACCGTATTTTCAGTACAAGTGTGGAATTTTCAGCATGGATATCGGTAGCCCAAATTCAGGCCGACCATAGATATCGGGTGTGCGCCGGCAGGGGATCGAACCCCGGACCATGTGCATGGTCGGCGAGAGTCCTAACCACTGTGCCGCCGACGCACATCTGCTTAGTTAAATTATAGCACTCATAACTAAGGAACGTTGAAACTATTTGTTTAAGTGAATTTTATGGTCAAAGTAGCCTAGTAGACAGTGCTTTGGTGCTTGAAATGACGAGTTCTGGGTTTGAATCTTGGTGGAGACACCAGCAGTCACTGGGGATTGAAGATACACCCGACTGACGAGTCCTATATTTGACGAAATGCACATCCTAGATTCTGCTACTAGTCATCGTTGACCAAGAACCTTGAATAAATCCGTTAGTAAAGTATATTTCAAAATATATAGACAGCTTAGTTCTCTTTTATATGCTTAAAGGCAATAATAAATAGTTCATTATCGACATAAAACTAAAAAACCAGATCAGAACCTAACTGTGAACGTAATTCATGCGTAACACTCATGATTAATGGTATGGCTATTCGTTTCTGTGTTATTTAGAAGGTCAGTACGCCAGTTCCCGGTGGTGGCTGTTATTAGTTTAACTTCTCCCGATTATCACTGCTGGCCAAGTTTTACCAATAAGCTTAAGTGTGTGTTCACTGAGTGTTTTAAGCTCTTGACAGTTCTGATGAAAAACTTAACCTTTTCACCTATGAAGCTGGACTCTCCTCATGAGAACTTTTTAATTATACAATTCTATCTATTGGCATGAACCAGTGTGTATCAGTGATAATGATGATGATGACATTGTTCTTTATAAAGTACACTTGTAAACTGGTCAATACTTGTTCTTACATATTTGTGTGATCAGAGATTTAATGGTGAAAAAGCATGCATGAACTCAATATGAAATCAGTGTGTGTACTGTTTGATTAACACAATGCCAATGAATATAACGAATTAGTTATTTATTTTGATTGTCTAAAAAAGTGTCATTTGAACTAATGACATGTACTTTCATTGTGGAGAAAGTCATTAATTTCATGTAAAATGTGGATGACACTAAAATATAAAAAAATGAAATAAGTTAGACTAGACGAAGAAACAAAAAAACTGATCTGTATGAGAAAAAATAATTTTTAATTCATGATTACCTTGGGGTAGGGGGTGATTTGTTCTGGATTTGAGTGGGTGGAGTTTTATGCTAACAACATCTGAACTTAAGTAGGTGTAAATAAAACAGGTTCCTGATTAAAAAAAACTCATCGATGATGGCCAA